ATTGTCCCTTATTGCCCTGACTATAGGGGAGCAAAAGGGAACAGCCAGTAGAGGTCTCAGTTGCCTCTACCGGGACTTCGAGTGTTGAAAAACAAGAATCCTCCCATTCGAAGGTCCCACTGGCAGAAACTGAAGAGGAAGGTAGTCCCCATCTAGTACACTGTCCAAAGGTGGGAAACGTATGCATCTCTCTAGATGGATCCCTCGCTGGTGTGGGTGATGAGTTGGCCGCTCGTCGCCAAGCCTGGACTGAAATGAAAAAGCAAAGAGGACAGTTAATAATTGCAGATCTTGAGATTAATAAAGTAAGGGTAGGAGGAATGATATACAGGTTGTACTCGCAGTTATATAAGTAAGAAAGGTTTGCAAAAGCCGCGACTCGGGCTAAAGGTTAAACAATTAGATGAGCCCGTGATAAGTAAGTTAGCTAACAGTACGGTAACAATAATGGATAAGTATGTTGAGGGGATAAAGGTATACTTCCGGCTCGAAGCAGAGGGGAAGGTGGAACGCGTTCTCCACTCCCTGACTTCCTTGGTGGAAGACAATCTTCCCTTTGACATCCTCCTAGGAATGGATTGGGGTGAGGCTGCTAATGCGGACATCAAGATGTGGGACCATGAATGTTGGCTCCCTAGTTTGCAAGGTGGAAAGAAGAAAATCCGCCTCTTTCATGAATCTGGTAAGGAAAGCAGCCTGGCTCATTGTTGTATGAGTGCCCCCACGTTCGCCCATCATGTGAAGAAGTATACTTTGTATGATCAGGTGTTTGTTGCCTATGTGCGCCCAGTAAAAGAGGGTGAACCTACAGAAGAAGCTAAGTCCCCCGAGATTGAGAAAGTCTTGAAAGAGTTCGCAGATGTAGCAGAAACCCCAAGCGGTGTGGTAGAACGACCCATCAAACATCGCATTGAGATCATCCCAGGAAGCTCGACTCCTAAGGGGCCTATTTATAGGATGTCACCAAAGGAATTGGATGAACTGCGAACCCAGCTCGATGAATTGCTGGCAAATGGGTCGATCAGGCCTAGCTCCTCGCCCTATGGTGCGCCTGTATTATTCGTTCCTAAGAAAGATGGTGGGGTACGCATGTGTATAGACTATAGAAGACTTAATGATATAACTGTCAAAAATGCAGAGCCATTACCAAGAATTGACGATTCGTTGGATCGCGTGCAAGGTAGCAAATACTTCACTAAGATTGATCTGAAATCTGGCTACCATCAGATTGAGGAAGAGCCAGAAGACCAACACAAAACGACCTTTCGAACAAGGTACGGGCACTATGAGTTCGTAGTGTTGCCCTTCGTGTCTTACCAATGCACCTGCAACCTTCCAAAGAACAATGAATCAACTTTTTCGAGAATGGCTTAATAAATTTGTAGTTATATATCTTGATGATATTCTCATTTTTAGTAAAGATTTAAAAGAACATTGTGAGCACCTTCGACTTGTGCTGAATAAGTTATACGAAGCAAAATTGAAGTTAAACCCGAAGAAGTGTGATTGGGCTAAGCGTTAGGTCTTATATTTGGGGCATATACTTGACGGAGATGGTATTAGACCGGAAGATTCAAAAATTGTAGCTATTAGAGATTGGCCGAACCCCCGCACTTTGACTGAGTTGCGGTCGTTCCTTGGATTAGCTAATTACTATCGGTGGTTCGTCAAACACTTCACGATAATCGCTGCACCCCTTCGCAGATTGCTTAAGAAGGAAACCATCGGGAAGTGGGACTCAGACTGTACGGCTTCGCTCAAACGCCTAAAGAAATGTCTGACTAACTACCCGGTTTTGAAGGTTGCTGATCCTTCTTTGCCCTTTGTTGTCACAACTGACGCCAGTCAATATGGGATTGGTGTTGTACTCCAACAAGATGATGGAAATGGGTACAGACCTGTTGAGTTTATGTCCCGTCGACTACCTAATGAGAAGGTCGCTGCTTCCACATATGAGAGGGAGTTATATGCTCTCCGAGAAGCTCTCGATCATTGGCGACAGTATCTCCTAGGAAGACACTTCAAAGTGTACTCAGATCGTGAGACACTTCGCTCGCTCAAAACGCAAGTGCGGATGACCCCTAAGTTAACCAGGTGGGCCGCCGAAATCGAGGAATACGACTTTGAGTTGAAGCCAGTCAAGGGTAAATACAACGTTGTTGCTGAGGCATTAAGTCGAAGATCTGATTTTTTTGGTGTTGTTATAACATACTTAGATGTAGGCACCGATTTACAAGATAAGATTAGAAGTGCGTATTCCACCGATTCTGTTTATGACGCTATAATTAAACGTGTACAAGAAGCGCCTCAAGAGTTTCTGAATTACCGAGTGACACAAGGACTGTTGTTTGAGGAAACCGATGTGCATGACAGGCTTTGTATTCCGAACGTGGAAGAGATCAAAAGTTTGATCTTAGGGGAATGCCATGACACTGAAGGTCATTTTGGCTGGAGGAAAACTTATGCAGGCCTATTGCGTTCCTATAACTGGCCTCGAATGAAAGCTGATTGCATCGCTTATGTACAGGGTTGTCAAGTGTGCCAAAGAAATAAGAGCACTACTCAACCTCCCCTTGGATTGTTAAAGCCATTGCCAATTCCAACCGGTCCAGGAGACTCTGTATCTATTGACTTTATGGATACTAAGGTGAAAAGCAGAAATGGAAAGACGCAAGTTATGGTCATTGTTGACAGGTTTAGTAAATATGCTGTATTTGTAGCGTTACCCGCGGCAGCTAAGACTGAGTTAGTAATCCAGGAATTCTTTAACCATTGGGTAAAAGATTATGGACATCCCTTGACCATTGTAAGTGACAGAGATTCACGTTTCACAAGTGAGCAATGGCAACAGCTCATGAATGTCTATGGCTCTAAGTTAACTATGTCATCAGGTAGGCACTCTGAGACAAATGGCCAGACTGAGCAAATGAATAAAATTTTGCAGCAAACATTGCGCATGTATATTCGCCCCGCTCAGATTGACTGGGATGAACATTTGCCCAAAGTTGCTAGTGCTTATAACAACTCTGTTCACCTTTCTACATGCAGAACTCCGATGGAATTGCATTTGGGATGGAGACCACGAAGACCCATTGATCGTTTAAATCCGGATCAAGTACACAAGCTTCCTTTAGGAACCAGTGAGTTATACAGGATCAAAGGGATATAGAAAGGGTAAAGGAAAATATCCTAAAGGCACAACACCAAATGATAGAACAGGCCAACAAACATCGCAGACCCTCTCAGTTTGCTGTAGGTGATTTGGTATGGGTCAAGTCTAGAGAGTTTGCTCCTGAGGAGAACATCTCTCAGAAGTTGTTACCCACCTACAGAGGGCCGTGGCAGATTATTGATGTGATTGGAGATGTAGATGGACCTTCTTATACGAGTGAAATTCCCTTACATTTGCATACGTATCCGGTGTTTCACGCTTCAAAGCTTCTACCTTGCGTGACTAATGAGTTGTTTCCCAGTCGCCGATCAGCGATACCTCCTAGTATGGATGGGAAATATGATGTAGATAAGATTGTTGATGAAAGCACATTTCTAACCGGACGAAGAGGCAGGCCCCAGCGACAATATAAAGTGAGATTTGCCTTTCAAGATCCAAGTGAAGTTCGCTGGTTTACTAGAGACGATTTACTGGAATCTGCCCCTCAAATTGTATCTGCATATGAAAAAGCTAAAAAAGGAATAAGTATTGTTGATAGATGAAGGTTTTCTCAGAGGACTTCCAATTTAGGCCGGCGAGAGTAAAAGGGTCTTTACCCGATTCAGCCCCTGTCCGAAGGACGCAGCATATTGGGGTACCTCGCTCCGAGGCCAGACTGTGAAAGCAAATCAAAAGACATGTTCTCTGATCAAGAGTCACATCTAAACTAAAGTAAAAGACATTCACAAGAGTCATGATTGTGCCCTGGACGAACAGTTGCAAAAACCTAAGTCTGGGTCACATCTGTTCATCCAGGGGATATGTGAGTCATGTCTGTTCGTACAATGAAAGTGTCTGTTCGTGCCAGAATTGTGTCTGTTAAAAAGGAAGTCAAGAGTTTTAAGTCTCGGTTCAGAATCGAGTCAGGGGGTTAGTCTAGATGCAGATGGGCTGTCCGAAATTGAGTCCTACAGGCCGCAGCAGCAG